CTCTCTCTCTCTCTCTCTCTCTCTCTCTCTCTCTCTCTCTCTCTCTCTCTCTCTCTCTCTCTCTCTCTCTCTCTCCATGAGGATCTTGACTCTGGATACATCAGCTACTACTCAGCTCTACTTCCTACTACTAGCTGTGCGGCTATGGCCGCCTTCCTTCCTCAGCGCAGCGCTGCCCAGCCAGGGCTCCGGCGCTAGGCACTCACGGACAACGCACAAGCGCCTCAGCAGCACTACCACACTTCTTGGAATGAGCAATCTCTTGGCTTGACTTCGGCCTGGTACCAGCTGCCCGCACCTGTTTGCTTCAGAATGTTGAGGCCCGGTACCTTCCTGGGTTTCCTTGGTGTGCTGCTGCTTTTGGGTTTGTGGAACGTGACCCTTGATTGTGAGTCGTGACTCTTGCCTGTGGGATATGACCTTTGATTGTGAGACATGACTTTTGCCTGTGAGACACGACCTTTGACTGTGGGATGTGACTTCTGCCTATGGGATGTGACTGTTGACCAGGTACCTGTTGGACTTGACCTCTGGGGTACCCGACATAACCATTCTGAAACTGGCCGACCTGGCCTCTCTCGGCCTGGAAATTTTGACCCTGAGATTCAAATTCCGGGCCTGCATCGTGGAATGCCTTTCACTTATGCCACTTGCAAAGGATCTCCACCTGAATCAAGGTCCTCGTCTCTGCCCATACCTTCTCCCTTGGAGTTGCGTGGGATGTTTGCAATGGTTCTGCAGCACCTTTCCTTCCAGATAGACCATAGCGTTACCTTTCTGATCATTCTGAACCACGTCTTCTCTGTCTTATGGAATTGAGCTGGGGTGTTAGTCGATAGGAGTTGGATGGGGTGCTCAGGGAGGAGAGTCGAGAAGAGGGAGTCCCATAGATCCGAGGTCCCAGCCCAGTATTATGTGGCATATCTACAGCGTATTAGGCAGTGTAGCATATCTTCTGGTTCATTTTCCGAACATACCACGCATAAATCTGAACTGTGAGGGTCATTCTTGATTCTTCTAATATGCAACCACTGGTTGACCGGCAGAGCCACGTATGAGATGAGCCATTGGAGGCTTCTGATTTTGACCGGTCGGATTGACGTGAAATTTTTCCATGGTATTTGTGAGATCTGACTAGCATCCTGACCTATTAACTTCTGCCATCTATTTTTGATTGTTGCATCAGCATCCTTCGTCTTGAGGAGTAGATTGTCTCCCAGTTTGACTGTGTATTCCTGGATGTGAACATTCGTTTTGAGACTTCTACTTCTGCCTGGTGTCCAAGTCCACTCTGCTGCATCAAATTCCAAGTCTTGAATCGTTGTATCTAATCTGAAGATTGTTTTTGGCCATGACCCCATCACTCTTACTTTTCTGAGCACACATGGATTTAGGACTGTTCTTTCCACATCCATGTTCAGAATATATGGGAGGCCTTGCGTTGAGGAGGTAATTGGGAAGGAGGCAAGCACAGCCAGGGTACCCAACCCTTGCTGCTTATGGGAAAATCGATAGGGCCTTGAGGGAGATAAATCCTGCACCCTCACTCTCCATTCACCAGATTTCCAGGTTAAGGCTTCGCTCAACAAATCCTTCCAGCCTTATGGGATGCAGTTGATAATGGATTGTAGATTCTCATCTCGTCGGTGACATTCTTTGAGCTGGGAGGTGACTTCCTTTTTCTTTCTT